AGAGTCAGGGTGGGGACGGGGGGGTGCAGGAGAGTCAGGGTGGGGACGGGGGGGTGCAGGAGAGTCAGGGTGGGGACGGGGGGGTGCAGGAGAGTCAGGGTGGGGACAGGGGGGCGCAGGAGAGTCAGGGCCGGTCCCAGCAGAGCATCTCTAGACTAGATGGCTCCATTCAAATGACCAAAATATGCTCCTAGTTTCTTTCTTTTAGATTGCCAGATGGAAATGCCAGATGATGGCCTATTTGTTGAGAACTCAGCAGATGTCAAAGGACACCATCAGTGTCCTGAAGGCTGTCAACACCCATTTGAGAAACTCCATGCCCCGTTTTGTATTTAAGCCTTCCTGTCCCGTAGTGGCCAAGAGACCAGTCACTAGAGATGGGGGCACCTCTAGACAAGGCGATGTCAAGTGATTTTCCCTACTTGTGCAACACAGACCTATCTGCGGCCTTGGGGAAGGATCTCCTGAGTCATTTCCAAAAGTTCTTTCCTGCAAGTAACTGTCAGCCTGTAGTTCCTACATAGGTTATTACTTAGGAGCCTAGGCAAAGCTCCTTTTACGGGATATTGCAATATTTTACTTAAGATAACAATAAGTGTCAACGACCTAAGCTTCCATCTGAAGATCAACAAACCAGAGCCAGGTCTGTTTCTGTATATCCTGGAGAGCTAAGAATGCTTTTTACATTTTTAAGAAGTAGTTCCTATTCTGCACAGGCAGTTCTAGAAAACTCAAGGGGGATAACGCTTCCCAGCTCAGTCTATGAGGCAAGCATTGCTTTGAAACCAAAGCCAGGTAAGGCCATTACAAAAAAAGAAAACGGCAGACCAATACCCTCCATGAACACAGACACAAAAATGTTTAATAAAAAATCAGCAGGCGGAATCCAACGATGTAGAATGTAGAATACATACTCAGCCCCCGAGTAGCTATTGCATTGGTCTGTCATTTGGCCTATCGTTCACCAAAATGTCGTTATTTGGTATATGACTGTATGTCAAAAATTCAAACATATACTAGGCTTGTTTTGTACTTTTATATTTAGATGCAAAAAAATTGAAGACACTTTTGGATGGTAAATTTTTTATAAAATCATATTGGAAAGGAGGGGTCACGAATTTCCTTTGGTCAAAAAGCAGAGAAGCCCTTCTTCCCACTCAGACCCCCATCGAGGCTTCTGGAAGTAGGGATTTTGTCTTTCTCTCCTTAAAAGATGTCCTTAGATAAGCATTTGAAGCCTGGAAAATCATTCCCAGGGAGCCAGGCTTCTCTCTCTCTCTCTCTTTTCTAAGTATTTCTTGGCCAAATGGCTCTCATTCTCCAGGTCACCTCATGATCTGGAAGTATTGACATTGCTTTAAAAATAGAGAAAGTAGAAAGTAGAAATGATCAGACCTTGAAGCCCTTCCCTGCCTACACAGCTCCCTGGAAATCCAGTGACTTCTTTTGCAAGGCTGAGAGATGTCATCTTAGCTGGAGTACTTACTGCCAGGAGTAAAATCAGGGCTCTGTTCAATGAGAGAAAGGAACAGAGGGTAAGCAGCTGCACAGGGTGTTTTGATTCCATCGCTAGACAGTGTGCTCTGGGTCAAAATGTGTGGATGGAATTAGCCAGGTGTGGTGGCACGTGCCTGTAATCCCAGCTACTCAGCAGGCTGAGGCATGAGAATTGCTTTAACCTGGGAGCCAGAGGTTGCGGTGAGACGAGATCGTGCCGTTGCAGTCCAGCCTGGGTGAGAAGAGTGAAACTCTGTCTCAAAAAAAAAAAATGTGGATTCACTCACAGGTCGCAATTGAGAAAAAATACAGCCAAGAAAAAATGTCTCAGTCTAGAGCACAGGTCCTCATGGGGCAGAAGCATTGTCACGTTTCACCCCCACTGCCTTCCAGCTTTTGTGGTATTTTTCATCACGAAATCTTAGCACCAGATTTTGTGGTTCATTCATTCAATGAAATATTTGTCAAGCACATTCATACCTTATACAAAAATTAACTCAAAGTAGATCAAGAACTTAAATATAAGAGCTAAAACTATGAAACTCTTAGAAGAAAACTCAAGCAGAAGTTTCATGACATTAGATTTAGCAATGATTTCCCAGGTATGAAACCAGGCAACGAAATTTAAAAACAGATCAATTGGATTTCATCACAGGTAAAAGCGTCAAAGGACTCTTATCAACGGAGGAAAAAGGCAACCCACAGAAAGGGAGAAAATATTCACACATCATATATCTGATAAAGGAATAGGATCAGGAATATATAAAAACTCAATGACAAAAAAACTCCACTGGAAAAAAACAATTAGAAACTTGAATGGAAAATTTTCCAAGAAGATCTACAAATGACCAATAGGCTCATGAAAAGATGTTCAGCCTCACTCATCATTAGGGAAATGCAAAGCAAAACCACAGTGAGATCCCGTCTACACCCACTGTGTTAAGTTTAAGTGTGGGGTGATGAGAAAGTTCTGGAGCAGGGCGGTGGTGATAGTTGTACAAAGATTGAATGTGCTTAATGCCACTGAACTCCACACTCAAAAATGGCTAAGACAGTAAATTGTATGTTATGTGTAGTTTACCGCAATCAAAAAATAACAATAGGCCAGGCGCGGTGGCTCACACCTGTAATCCCAGCACTTTGGGAGGCCAAAGCAGGCCAATCACAAGGTCAAGAGATCGAGACCATCCTGGCCAACATGGTGAAACCCCATCTCTACTAAAAATACAAAAATTAGCTGGGCATGGGGGATGCACGCCTATAGTCCCAGCTACTCAGGAAGCTGAGGCAAAAGAATTGCTTGAACCTGGGAGGCAGAGGTTGCAGTGAGCTGAGGTCCCGCCACTGCACTCTAGCCTGGTGACAGAGTGAGACTCCATCTCAAAAAAAAAAAAAAAGGCAATAAGGCTGGCGCAGTGGCTCACACCTGTAATCTCAGCTCTTTGGGAGGAAGAGGCAGGCGAATCGCTTGAGATCAGGAGTTGGAGACCATCTGGCCCACATAGTGAAACCCGGTCTCTACTAAAAATACAAAAATTAGCTGGGCATGATGGTGGGAGCCTGTAATCCCAGCTACTCAGGAGGCTGAGGCAGGAGAATCACTTGAACCCAGGAGGCGGAGATTTCAGTGAGCTGAGATCACACCACTGCACTCCAGCCTGGGGGACAGAGTGAGACCCTGTCTCAAAAAATAAATAAATATATCTTTATCTGGAAGAGGTCTCCCCAATTCTTTTATTTTAATTACATTTTCAGGTATTAAGAAATGTTTGTGGCCGGGCGCGGTGGCTCACGCCTGTAATCCCAGCACTTTGGGAGGCCGAGGCGGGTGGATCACGAGGTCAAGAGATCGAGACCATCCTGGTCAACATGGTGAAACCCCGTCTCTACTAAAAATACAAAAAATTAGCTGGGCATGGTGGCGCGTGCCTGTAGTCCCAGCTGCTCGGGAGGCTGAGGCAGGAGAATTGCCTGAACCCAGGAGGCGGAGGTTGTGGGGAGCTGAGAGATCGCCCCTTTACACCCCAGCCGGGAAAAAAAGAGCAAAACTCTGTCTAAAAAAAAAAAAAAAAAACAAAGAAATGTTTGTAAATTGAGGATTCTAACCAAGGATATTAAAATGTTCCTTTCAGAGCCACTGATACAGTATTAGATTTTAAATAAGGGAAATATTGATGATGAAGATGGGAAAAAAGGGGACAGACTGTTGATACCCCAGGGCACTTGTACACTTTAGCATCCTGAGATTTGGCGGACCCTCTCCAGCCCCTTTTCCTAATTGCAGAAAATTGAGATGAATATGACATGCCCTGTTGAAACCGTGCTCCAAAGAGTTAAAGAAATCAGTAAGTAACAGAAATCCTTGCGTTTGCAGGACAGCAGATAAGAAATGACTCGCTGAGACGCTGAAAGCCCCTCTGCTTACAAGACAAAGGACTGGATGAAATCAGTGGGAACCGCTGTGGCCACATGGATTTGTGCAGAACAAACTTGCTGAGGTCAGATTTGCACGTGGTTCCCATAAGCAGGCGTGAAGGCAGAACCAGCCAGGCCGGAGGACTGTCTAGACCTCTGCTTTCCTTCCACCAATCACCTGCTAATCCCAGAACCCACCCCTGAACCTTTTCCAATATGATTCCTGCCTTCAATCCAGCACAGGGAGAGAGACAGGTTTGAACTGGACTCCTGTGTCCTAGAGAGCTGACTTTTCTTTTTTTTTTTGAGATAGAATCTCACTCTGTAGCCCAAGCTGGAGTGCAGTGGCACGAACACAGCTCACTGCAGCCTCGACTTCCCCAGGCTCAGGTGATCTTCTCACCTGAACCTCCTGAGGCGCTCGGACTACAGGTGCACGCCACCATACCTGGCTAACTGAAAATTTTTTTGTAGAGGCAGGGTGTCTCCAGTGCCCAGGCTGGTCTCGAACTCCTGGGCTCAAGCGATCCTCCCAGCTGGGCCTCCCAAAGTGCTGGGATTACAGATGTGAGCCACCGCGCCCGGCCTGAAAGCCGGCTTTCCGTGTCAAGCTTCTGTTTTCTCAAAAACCCAGCGTCTAGCATCAGCTTCCAGCACATCGGCTGCAGGCCCCTTTTGCTTGATAACGGTTTCTATGGAGACATCTGTGATGCCACCACTGCTCCCAGGGGCCCACAGGACCTGGAGCTCTGGAAGCTGATCCTCCCACTGGACCAGCCAACAGGTCCACGCTCAAGGCTGTCTTCCCCTCGACACCCCAGCCAGGCTGAAGAGAGGTCCACAGGGACAGCCGGGGCTGCTCTCATTCAGGTCCTCATTCAGGCAGCAAAGCTCACTCCGTCTTTGCGTCCCATGTCTCATGTTACCTAAGGATACCGGCATGTCTGAGAGGCACAGTTCAATGTCCAGCTCAATAGCCAGGGGCCTGGCACTCCTCCAGGGTGTGGTGGCCAGCCGGGACGCCCAGCGCCCGGAATGGAAACCGCACCGAAAGCCACGCGTGCTCAGCAAGTCGGCCCAGACCGTGAGCCGCTGCTACGGGAAGATGGTATGGGTTCAGGGAGAAGGGCTGCCATGGGCTTGAGGTGACCTGCTTCTCCTGCTCCCCAAGGCCCCATAGAGCTGTCAGCCCACAAAGCATTCCACAGGCCTTCTGCTGATGGGTTATCCAGGGGGATTCCAGGAAGACAACGAACTGAGCGCTAGTGGTGGAAAGAACCCTGCGGTTCTCTCCCTTTCTGCAGGACCTAGTGCCCTAGTCCCCCCATGCCACCGGCTTCTGGGTTAGCTGCTTTGAATCGGTCCTCCCCTCTGCAGACCTTGGCTTCCACTGTCTCTGGTTGGCCAAGGGAGAAGATGCACAGTTTGGCCCAGACTCCCTGGGTGCATCTTGTAAAGGAGACTAAAGGCGGGGAAATGGGGAAGGTGACCTCAACGGACAGGTTACCCGTGCCACCATGTGCCGGTGGAGCCCGTGATGGTCACCCCAGCGCCTGGCAGCTTCCAGTTCCATGCATTGCCTGGACCCAGTGGCTCTTGTGGTCTGAGTGGCTCTTGCTGAGCATCCAGTATGCTGGAGAGGAACAGAGGGGACACACCGCTGCCACCCGCACACACCCAGGTCCTTTCAAACCCAGTGGGAGCGTGGCTTAGTGCCTGTGAGCAGCCGTGCGTGGTCGGCATGGTCGGTGAATCTCAGCCAGCGGTCAGGCAGAAGCAGGGCCCCCATCCGTCTGGGCTTCAGTCTCCCCAGGAGGCTCTCGGTGGAGCAGCCAGTGCTCCAGGACCAGCAGCAGTTACGGGCAGGTCTCCGAGGAGGTCTGAGGGGCCACATGGTGTCCTGGGTATGGGGTCTGTGTCTACATACAGCTCATAGGCACCTGCCATCAGGGTGATTTGTGATGGTTTAGGGGACACAGTGTCTGCCCTTGGTGTGGGGCTGAGGGCCCCACCGGGTGGTGGGGTGTCCCTTATGCTGTGCTGAGGCACAGGATCCGAGAAATAAAGAAACAGGACACAGAAGTATAAGGAAAACGCAGCTGGACTCGGGGGGGCACGCCACCTGTAAGTGGAGTCAGGCGAGGCCCTGAATGTCCAGAAGCATGAGTATTTATTGTGTATAGGTTAGGGGGCAGGGCAGTGAGTGAAATCATCTTTAAGGATAGTGATAGGGTCGTGAGCAATAAAACATGGGGTCCACACCCATTAGGTCACTGAGGCATGGAGGTGGACAGTGCACAGCAAGGGGCCCATTCCCATGAAGGCAAGGGCCATGTACAGTAAGGGGTCCGCCCCCATTAGGTCACCTAGGCCAGGAGGTGGACAGTGCGCAGCAAGGGGCCCGTTCCCATGAAGGCAAGGGCCGTGTGCAGTAAGGGGTCCACCCCCATTAGGTCACCGAGGCATGGAGGTGGGCCGTGCGCAGTGAAGAGGGTGCAGTGTGCAATACTCCTATCTATGGGCAAGCTACTCCTAAGAGTATCTATAGGAGGATACTAAGTCACACAGCAGTGACAGAGCTGTCAGGGTCTACGCCACCTGCTGGCAGCTTCCAGTGAGTTCTATAGCAGGATGCTTTTTGAGCAGCACAGTAACAAGAGCTGATAAAGTTCACAGTCACCAAGGTGGATTGCTGGTCTGAGGTCACCTTCCACAAGAACTGGAGCAAGGTCCTACAACTCCTTTATCAGGAGGAGTGGCTCTCGCCCCAAGCCTGCCATACAGCGGGTTATCTTTACGATACTGAACGCTGCCGCCTGGGCCATGGATTCTTGTCCTGGTATAACTGTTTTCCCTTAATTCATGCTCTGCACTGTGTCTGCTCCAGGCATTCCTCCGACTAAGATATAATTTTATATACATATATATATACACACACATAGGGAAATAACTGAGTGGTAAGGTATTCTTTAGGCACTCACTCTATGAACTAATATGTGATTATATAAAGGATTATGTTAAAGGAAATCACTGAGTAGTAACACTATAAACTGAGATATTCTTCACTAATTGTGCCAGGATTCTGCTTGGCTCCCCTTCCTCGGTACCTATATGGGGGGTTACCCACACTTGGAAGCGCTGGCCTAGGGTCGGGGTCCTCTAGCACCCGCCTTATTTCCCCTCTCTGCCAGAGCGAGCCCAAGGACACCGCCAGCCTCACAGGCTTCATGTCTGAAATGGAGGAACTGCGAAGGCTGTTCCTCACGCGCCCTGACTGCCCCCAGTTCAGCACCAGGGCCACGTCCATTTCCCATTGTGGTAAGACGCCCCACCAGGGCCGCCTGTGAAGCTGCCTGCCTCCCTGTCAGAGTCAGGGGAACCAGGGAGGCTTTCCTGCCCCCTTCAGCCTGCGAGCAGCCGTCAGAGTTGGCTCGTATGGTGGCCCCAGCTGCTGCTTTTGAAATCCACCCAGTGCGCAGGGAGCTGGGGCAGCAATGAAGCTGGGGGGGTGGAGGGAGGCTGGGGGTGGCAGGGGGTGGAGGGAGGCTGGGGGTGGAGGGAAGCTAGGGGTGGCGGGGGGCAGAGGGAGGCCAGGGGTGGAGGGAGGCCTCTTCTGGCCACTGTGCTGATGATTTGTGTCCCCAGACTTCTTGCTTTTCATCCACCGAAAATTCATTAGGGCCAGGGGCTAGGGGAGTGGAGATAGTTGAATATTGTGGAAGCTTCAGGAAAGAACCCCATAAAGTCAGATAGCTCATTAAGGACAGTGCCCCCAGGGAGCCCCAGCAGCCATCCTGTCCAGCCCCTCACTGATGGGAGCAGGAGGCTGGGAGTGGCAGCTGCTGAGCTCTGTGGTCCCCTGGGGGACGCTGCGCGAGCCAAGGCTCATCCCAGCATCTGCTCCTGGCCCTGGGCTTCTTCCACATCCCCACACAAGATGCTGTTCTTAGGGATGGCAAGCTGGAGCTTAGTTCCTGTGACCAGGAAGCAGGGCAGGGTGGGGGGTGGGTGGGGTGGGTCCTGCCCACAAATCTTAGCCGACATCAGGCAGAAGGAGGGCTCCCACCTGTCTAGGCTTCAGCTAGAGGGTCTCTGTGGGCGGTCAGTGCTCCAGGACCGGGGTGGTTATGGGCAGGTCTCTGGGGAGGGCTGAGGGACCACATGGTGTCCCGGGCGGGGGTCTGCATCTACACACTGCTCATAGGCATCTGCCACTGGGCTGATTCCTGACATTTAGGTGAAACAGGGTCTGCCTTGGACGGGCTAGTCTGGAGGCAAGAGAGCCTCTGAGACTTTCAGGAGGTAGGTTTTTACCCAAGGAAAATGGGGTCTGCCCCTCCAGGGGAAAGGAGGCCTCGGCTGCAGAAGTTCAGCCACACGCAGGTCTGTTGAGGTGGAGACACCAGGGAGGCAGGACGATGAACCCACCCTTCGGTTCAGCCCGGTTGCTCAGTCCCATGCATCCACGAGAAAAGCCACCTGTGCCCGCACCCGCTGCTTACGTATAAATGAGTCTCTGCCTGGGAGATCCGGGGAGATGAGACCACAGCAATCACCAGATGGCATCTTCAACACTGCAAGGTTCACCCACCAAGGCCAGTTTGTCCGGGGAGCTACACCGCAGCTCGGAGACCTGGAGGGGTGCCCAGGACCTGCTCTTGGCCAGGCGGGACTCGGACACGAACGTGGACGGTGAGGGAGTCCCCAGGGCCTCTGCCTGCAGCTGCTGGGTCCCTGAGCTGGAGGCCTGCTTCTCAGGGCCGCTGCCCATGCCCCGTGGAATTCCCTCCCAGGACTGCCCGCCTCCTGAGGGCTCACACAGCACAGCCCTGGGCTCCTTCTACAGAGCTGGCCCTGCCTTCCCTGACAGCTGAGGCTGCGGTCCCCTGGGGCCGTGGCTCCTTGTCTTTAGTAAAATTGCAACATGACTCCTTTTTTGCCTTAATTGGAGGAGACCTAGAGTCTGTAGTGACCAGCTCCCCTTGGGCTCGGGAAGGTGGAGAATCCCCTTCCTCCCCTCAGTTTAAAGATGGGGAAACTGAGGCCCCAGGAGGGGACAAGCAACCAGGTGTGCAGGGACAGCGTCAGGATGACCCTTATCCCAACCCCCAGCTCTGGCCCCTGTGTCCTGGCATCCTGGCCGGAGCTTCCATGCCTTCCCTCACCCCTTCAGCACACGCTCCGGGCTGGGTGTGGGCGCCACATGGTGATCACAGCAGAACCACACTGTGTCCTCAAAGTGAGGGTGACAAGAGCTGGGGACAGACGGGAGTCTGTCTGGGCTGATAGGGGTTTCCGAGGGAAATCTCAGAAAGGTGGACGTCGTCATCCAAGGTGCTGGTGGACTCGGCAGGGAAGAGTCTGTTTCTCACCCGCTTCTCACTCGGCCTCTGCCGTCACCACAGGGCGCCTCCTCCCACACAGTCAGAGCGCCTGCGAGCTCAATTACTTTTGGAAAAGGAGCGAATCCCAGACTCTGAGTCCGGTCACCAGCAGCCCAGTCGCATCCCAGAGCTGCCTGAGAAAGAGGACGCCCTGGTACCTCTTAGCCATCCACGAGAAGGTACTGGCAGACGGGGTGCGAATCCCGGCCCCCCACCCCCTCGCTCTGTGTCCGGCTGGCAGGACAGCCCTGCCCCGTGAGCACTCTTGTTCTAGTATCTGGTTAGGTGCATCCAGCACGTACCCCAGTAGGGCCTAAAATGACCTCCAGACCCCCTGCTTCGACAAAGTTCCTCACCCCCGTCCATCCTCATCCCAGCGGTGGCAGTTACACTAGGGGCTCGCCGGCACATACGACCTCCAACCAGCCACATACCTTTGCGCCCACAGACTCCGCCTCGGAGAATGTATTCTAAATAATAAGAATAGGAATGCCAGCTTGATTTAGGTATGAGTTGATTCACCATAGTGTTATTCTTTTTTTAAATCTATGTTTATAAGAAAGTCTGACCTATAATTTCACTGTCTGGTAATTCCCTCATCAAATTTTAGTATCAAAGTTATTCTGGCCTCATTAAAAAGAAAGACAAGGCTGGAAAACCGTTCCCTTTTTTCTTTCTTTCTTTCTTTTTTTTTTTAAGACAGGCTGAAGTGTGGTGATGTGATCACAGCTCATGCAGCCCCGACCTATCTGAGCTCAAGCAATCCTCCCACCTCAGCCTCCCAAGTAGCCGGGACTGCAGGTGTGCATGACCACACCGGCTAATTTCTGTAGACAGGGTTTCCCCATGTTGCCCAGGCAGCTCTCAAGCTCCTGGGCTCAAGCAATCCACCCACTTTAGCCTCCCAAAGTGTTGGGATTAGGGGTCGGTGCCACTGCCTGGCAAAGAGTTTGCATAAGATTGATATCATTTCTTCCTTAAATTCACTTAAAAGAAGTCACTATTGAAAGCATCTGTGTCTGGAGATTTCTCACAGGACCACTTTTATTTTATTTTATTTTATTTATTTAGAGAAGGAGTCTCAGTCTGTCGCCCAGGCTGGAGTTCAGTAGTGCAATCCCAGTCCACTGTGACCTCTGCCTCCCAGGTTCAAGTGATTCTCCTGCCTCAGCCTCCCGAGTAACCAGGATTACTGGCACACACCACCACATCTGGCTAATTTTTATATTTTTAGTAGAGACAGGGTTTCATCATGTTGGTCAGACTGGTCTTGAACTCCTGACCTTGGGATCCACCTGCCTCAGCCTCCAAAAGTGCTAGGATTATAGGTGTGAGCCACCACACCTGGCCTTTATTTATTAATTTATTTATTTAATTTATTTATTTTGAGATGATGTCTCACTTTGTCACCCAGGTTGGAGTGCAGTGGAGTGATCCCAGCTCAATCTTCCCAGGGTTCAAGCGATCTTCCCACCTCAGCTTCCTGAGTAGCTGGGACTGCAGGCTCATTCCACCCTGCCTGTTAATTTTTCTTTCTTTCTTTCTTTTTTTTTTTTTTTTGTAGAGACAAGATCTCTTCAAGCTGTTCATGTTTGCCTTGAACTCCTAGGCTCAAGTGATCCTCTTGCCTCAGCCTCCCAAATTGCTAAGAGGTATGAGCCACCACACCATCCCCCTACAGGAGCACTTTTAAAAATCACAAATTAGGGCCAGGTGCAGTGTCTCAAACCTGTGAGGCGGGCAAATCACGAGGTCAGGAGATCGAGACCATCCTGGTCATGGTGAAACCCCGTCTCTACTAAAATACAAAAAATTAGCCAGGTATGGTGGTGGGTGCCTATAGTCCCAGCTACTGAAGAGGCTGAGGCAGGGGAATTGCTTGAATCTTGGAGACAGAGGTTGCAGTGAGCCGAGATCGTGCACTGCACTCCAGCCTGGGCAACAGAGCAAGACTCTGTCTCGAAAAAAAAAAAAAAAAATCACAAATTAGGCCAGGTGAAGTTGCCCAGGACTGTAATCCCAGCACTTGGGGGGCTGAGGCAGGAGAATCGTTTAACCAGGACCCGGAAGGCGGAGTTGCAGTGAGCCAAGATCGCGCCACCGAACTCCAGCCTGGGCTACAGAATGAGACTCCATCTCAAAAAAAAAGAAAAAAAAATCACAAATTCAATTTCTTTAAAAGATATCTAGATTTTCTTTTTCTTCATGTTTCAGTTTTGGTGTTCTGTGTTTTCCTAGGAAGGCATCTATTTCATATAAATTTTCTCATTTCTCAGCCTATGGCTGTACATGGCACAAGGATAATTACTACCTTTACGCAGTGTGGATGGGTTAACAGCCTCTTTTTCATTCCCGACCTGGCTGCCTGCGTCTCCTCTCCCTTTTTTCCCCATTGGTCTTGCTGGAGACAGGGTTTCACCATGTTGGCCAGGCTGGTCTCAAACTCCTGACCCCAGGTAATCCCCCCACCTCGGCCTCCCACAGTGCTGGGATTATAGGCGTCAGCCACTGCTTGGCCAACGTTTAGTGGACTTTCCAGTTATTTTTCCTTCCAGAATATTCTGTTGGGATCATTTTCCTTCCTCCTGAAGAATTCCCTTTAGCATTTCTCTAAGTTCAGATCTGCTGGTGACATTCAATTTCTGTTTGCCTGAAAACATCTCCATTTTTGTCTTTAATTTTGAAGAATTGAGGGAGTTGAGATTTTGAGAACAAAAGTTTGAGGAGCTCCCTGCCAAACCCCTAGAAAAGCTTGGAGGGCGTTGCCGGTTAAGTGTGGGGGCCGCAAAGAAGACTGGCGTCCTGGCCGGGCGCAGCGGCCCACGCCTATAGTCCTAGCACTTTGAGAGGCTGAGGCGGGCAGATCACCTGAGGTTGGGAGTTCAAGACCAGCCTGGCCAATATGGTGAAACCCGTGTCTACAAAAAACACAAAAATTAGCCAGGTGTGATGGCGCATGCCTGTAATCCCAACTTCTTGGGAGGCTGAGATGGGAGAATCGCTTGAACCTGGGAGGCAGAAGTTGCAGTGAGCTGAGATTGCACCCCTGCACTCCAGCCTGGTGAGAGAGTGAGACTCCATCTCAAAAAAAAAAAAAAGAAGACTGGTGTCCTGTGTTGTAGTGCAGTGGTGAGGACAGCCCATGGACCAGGTCCGAAAGGGAAGCTGCCTCGTATCTTCTCGGACGAGGATTTCGGGTCCGCTCTTAGGACAGGGGCAGAGGTGCTGGAGGGGCCAGGCACGGTTGCACTAAAGAGCTAGTACATCGTGGTCTCCAGATTCATACAACTAGCTCTTTACCGCAGTACACATCTTGACATCCCTGGGACCCTGGGATTTCGGGGTTCCAGGACAGCAGATCTGCTCCTCCTGAGTGGGCTGGGGGCAGGTGGGGGGACAGTGTGTGGCTGCATGGCCCACGGGCTGCCCCTGGTTTTCTCCCCAGGATCACTGCCTGTCCAAGCTGGAGATACAGGTTCAGAAGAAAGACGAGGAGATCGTGGTGCTCCAGGAGGAGCTGAAGGCCCTGAGGAAGCAGCTGAAATGCCCCCTCAGAGGCAAAGGCCAAGAGACATCCATGTCCCCAGGCCAGAAGGTGGGTCAGCCCCAGCAGCCAAAGCTGCTGGTGATGTGCAGGCCCCTGGATGCTCCAGGTCCTGGCTGGAGCCGGGACGGGGCCTCGGGGTTCTGCTTGACAGGCGGGGAGAGGCAAAGGGAAGCACGAATGCAAACGGGAGCCGTGAGCCGACGTCTAGACACCTGCACTTGGCCTTGGACTCACATTCTACCCGGGCCAAGTCATAGCACTTTCAGGGCTCAGGGTCCTCATCTATAAAATGAGGGCTGAGCTCACCTCTGAAGTCCTGGGGCACGGAGGCCGCCCGCAGGTGGATTCCCCAGGCCTTGCCATGTGCATTGTGGGCAGTGGTAGCTTCGGCTATCCTGCCCTGGCCGGGAACCCCTTCTTCCCACTCTCTCTCTGGTTGTGAGGCCCCCTGTGAGGCTGGGCTGGGCTGGGGTGGGTGGGATGCTACCACACCTCTAGGTCTGGGCAGAGGACTGGATGAGGCGGGTCTGTGCTGTGCGCAGGGGCAGTCACCTGATCTTCCTAAGACCCCATTTCTTTCATACCTGAGGACACAGCCTGAGTTTCTGCTGGGGGCCAGAGATGAAGTGGGGACCAGGGGAGGGCCTCTGACGGCCGAATGCCCTGAATGCCTCAAGGGAAGGCTGCCTAGACACAGAGGGCGGGGGCAGGGAATGAGGCAGCAAGGGGCTTCCACTTTCTGTCCTCCCCAGCCTGCTGGGTGGGCGTCTGAGGGTAGAGCACCCAGGCCAAGACATGCACGGTGGGCGTGTCTAAGGCTGGCTCCCTGACTTCTAAGGCCTTGTCCCTTACTGCAAGGCCACTTGCTGGGGGCTGCTCTGGGGGTGCCTAGAGCCCCACTGCCCCCAAATGCTGCCCATCGACAGGTTCCTGTGCCCTCCACTGCCACAGCACCCACATCCCCCAGCCCCTTGGCAGGAGGATGCAGGTCCCCTCCCCGGACATGAGAGGCCACTGTCCCATCAAGAACAGGCCATGATGGTCCATCCCTGGGGTGCTGCAGGAGGGGTGGAGAGCTGAGGGTCCCATGGGTGTCTTGCAGGAGCGGTCCTCAGACGCTTCGCTGAAGCTGGGCAAGCTGAGCCTCCCGAAGGCCTTCTCCAGAGGCGAGGAGGAGCTGCAGGGCTGGTGGCAGGTGCGGGCCTCCCGGAGAGCAGGCGTTCAGGGAGGGCCCCAGCACAGGAGCCACACAGGCGGCTCAGCTAAGAGGCCCAGGCCCCAGGTGTCCCCTGCAGCCCTGCCCTGGGGTGCCCCCTCCAGGGGAGCAGGTGAGGTGGGTGGGTCGCTAACCCCCTTGAAGGCACAGGTCAGGTACAGCCTCTTGACCAAGGGAGAACCCGTGCCTGAGGCCACAGTGCCTGGGCCACTGTTGGTGGCCTTGCCAGGCAGATGCTCCCCCGCTCCCTGGACCCTGTATTAGCCTGGAATGAGGTGCCCTCCCCGGTGCCCCCACTGTGAGCATTAGATGTCCCCGCCCTGGGGGTGCCCTGCAGCCCTGCCCTGCCCCTGCCCTACCCATCTCACAGATGCAGAAGGCGTCTGCGGTGCCGCCGGAGAGGGGCAAGGAGCCGGATCTGGGAGGCGGCGAGGACGAGGGCCTGGAAAGGGAGCCCAAGGGGGCGGAGGATGTGGGCACCGGAGGAGGTGTGGGCCAGATGGGGGCTGTGCATGAGGAGGAAATAGAGGAGGAGGAGGAGGAGGAAAGGGGTGGGGATAAGGACACAGAGGAATGGGAGCTGCTGGAGGAAGACGAGGTCCCCGGGAGAAGGGCCGCCTCCCTGGCCGAGTCGTTTGAGGAGGAGCTGCTGGCCCAGCTGGAGGAGTACGAGCAGATCATCCTGGACTTCCAGTTCCAGCTGGAAACCACCGGGACCGGATACCGCCTTGCAACAGGTGGGCCTGGGGGCTCTGGGCTTTGGCTTCGCAGTGAGTCCCGGCCCAGGGGCTGTGATGCCCAGAGGCTGCCTGCCCTGGTCAGTGGGCCGGAGAGGGTGCAGTGTCAGCCCCCTGCAGAGCGCTTCCGGCTGGCGCGGTGGCCCGGCCCTCTCCTTCTGTCCCTCATTGCCCCTGCTTGCTCTTGCTCACCGCCTCCGCCTCTGCCTCTGTGCCCAGGAGTGATCGCATCTTTACAACAACAATTGGATTTCCAAGAATCCCAACTGCGAAAAATCAAGTCGGAAAATGAGACGCTGCAGAAGGAGCTTCGAGAGCGGAGGCAGCAGCTACAAGCTATGACCAACAAGGTGGCTGTGCGCTCAGTCCCGGCCTCCGCTCAGTGAGCACGGGCCAGGCTTGACTAACCCACAGCAGCTCGGGGCACGCGCCGCCCATCCCATCTACTGATAGAGACTCTGAGCCTGGGGCATCCAGGCAGCTGGCCCAGGGTTGTGCGACTGATAGCGGCCCCACCGGGATTCCCCCAGGTGTGTGGGAGGCCAGAGCCCACATGTCCAGCCACAGCTCTGCCCTGCCCCTGGGCTGGAAGCACGAGTCCCTGCCTCCGGAGCCGCTGTGCTCTTGGCCACTCGTCAGGCATCTCCTGGCCCCTGAGCCCTGGGGGTGAGAACACCCTCTCGATGATTACAGAGACTGCTACTCCACTGAGCCCACTATTGTCATTTGTGTTAAGCATTTTAGGTTTCTATTCTTATCAAAGCTATTCATGCACGTCACTTAAAGAATCAAATAGCTCCACCAGGCTTGTCATGAAAACCAGGAGCCTCTGACCTCCTCCCTCTCATTCGCCCTCTCCTAAGGCATCACTTTCAACTCTTCTAGCACGCTCTTCAGGAATCTATCTCCATACCTCCAAATAGCATGCTCACAATGTGCCCATTCTAGATTTTTCTCCATCTTTTTTTTTTCACTGATGACAATTTATTATAATCTGTTAGTAGCACACAGACAAATATTAATTAAACCAGAACTATGTCTACACAGAAGTGGGCAATGACATGTGCCATTCTGTGGGGAACTGTGTGCACTTAATCATCATGTTTTAGTATTTTGATCTTCTGCTTATGCCGCTCAATTTCTTTCTGCAGACGCTCAATCTCCTTCTTATGATGAACGATCTCTTCTTCATGGTGTTTTTTCAAAGCTGCCAGTTGTTCTCTAGTCTGTGCTCGGAAATATCGTTCCTCTTCAGCCTGCTCTCTCTTTCCAAAGGCCCCACCAGCTTCCCGGATGGAGCCCGCGCCCCGATCGAGATTCTCGGACTGATCCGAGCCGAAGCTTCGGGCTTGCATGGTCCTCACGCCCCAAACGCCAAGCCACGTCCTCGCCGCCAACGCCATTACTGCCATTGCTGCTGGAGCTGCACCTCTGGCATCTCCGATTTTTCTCCATCTTAACATTATTTAATGCTTCCTTTTTTCCTCCCCTGCCATCCCCCCAACACCCACAAGGGGACTCTTTCCACCCACCCTCCTCCCCGTATCATTCTATCACAATCGATGTTGCACTGACATCAGTAGGACAGTTATTTGTTGCAAACACACATAAATAAAGTGAGTTTTACAGAACAGTACTAAGATTCATAAACCACAACTTTGAAACTGCTGCATCCCATATCTTTTGCTTTCTTGCCCTCTTCACTTATTTTTGATGGAGCACATCCTCCAGCAGTTTTTTCAGAAAGGATGATTGGGGGTAAAGTGTTGGCAAATACCCTTATTCTACACCCTTGGAACATTTGGGTTGGAGATAACATTCCCATTTGAAAACCGTTTTCCTTCAGCATCACAGAGGCATTCCTCTGTTGTCTTCCAGCCTCCAGGTTTGCTGATGAGAAGTCCAAAGTCGTTCATGGTTCTTTGTGAGCCTATCTTTGTCCCAGGTGTTCTGGAACCTCCCAGAGTTGCGTGTTAAGCGTGTATTTTCATCTGTTGTACTGGGCACTCGGTGGCCATCTGGAAACACGTCCTTCAGTTTAGAATTTTCTTTGTTTTTTTTTGTTTTTTATAGCCTTCTCTCAATTATTTGGCTATTGGACCTCCTGTCCTGCTCTTATTTAATCTGTTATCTCTTCCTTTTCAACCCATTTTACAGATGCCTTTTTTTTTTTTTTTTGGGACAGAACCTCACTCTGTTGCCAGGCTGGAGTGCAGTGGTGTGATCTCAGCTCACTGCAACCTCTACCTCCTGGGTTCAAGCATTCTTTTGCCTCAGCCTCCCAAGCAGCTGGGACTACAGGCGTGCACCACCACACCCAGCTAACTTTTGTATTTTTAGTAGAGACAGGGTTTCACCATGTTGGCCAGGATGGTCTTGATCTCTTGACCTCATGATTCACCTGCCTGGGCCTCCCAAAGTGCTGGGATTAGAGGGGGTGAGCCACCGCGCCTGACCTACAGATACTTTCTAGAAGATGTCCTTAACCTTATCAACAGCTCTTCTCTTGAGTTTTCATTTTGTTATAATATTTTACTCTGATGTTCTCTGAATGTTCTACTTTTCTTCTTTTTTTTAAGTGTACTCTGTTCGGTCTCACAACTGCAGTATCTCCTCTTCCCGGGCTGACAGCGTTAATTCAGTTTGAGTTTCCTAACTTCTTGCACCACTTCTGTTTCCTACAAGTTCCTTTTAAAGTTTGCTTTTGGTCTCTGTCATTCACTTGACAGCTTTGCTCCAGTGTTTGAGCAGACTGGACTTAGGGCACACAGGTGACCACGCCGTGCTCCCTGGCAGAGCAGTGTGCCTACTTGAGCATTTTCATTGGGAGTTTCTTTTCTTTTCTTTTTTTCCAAGATGGGTTCTCACTCTGTCACCAGGCTGGGGTGCAGTGGTATGATCACAGCTCACTGCAGCCTCAACCTCCCCAGGCTTAGGTGATCCTCTCAGCCTCCTGAGGCACTGGGGCCACAGATGCACGCTACCACGCCCAACTAACGTTTTCATTTTTCGTAGAGACAGGATCTATGTTGCCCATGCTTCTTTCAAATTTCTGACCTCAAGTGATCCACCCACCTCAGCCTTCTAAAGTGCTGGGATTACTTACTGCACCAGCCTGGGGCTCTTCATTTCTGAAATAACATTCCACCGATCATCCTCATTTTAGCCTCCATGTTTAGAAGAACCCAGCACCAACCATTTCTGAAACTTTTAGGAACTCAGCTGCTATTATTTTAGGGAGCTTTGGGGAAGGAAAAAAGTTAGAAGCCAGCCCGGGAGTCCGCCAAGCCAACCCCTCTGTCTCCTTTCAGTTCTCCAACCTCCGAGAAGATAAGAAACACCAAGAGATGATGGGGCTCATTGAGAAGGACAACCAGTTCCTCCGACAGGTGACAGCCTAGGTGTTGTGAAGTGGTCAGCCAGGCCACTGTTCTTGCTGTAAGTCCCGACACAGCAAAAGGCAAGAAGGGCCTGGAGCATCTTCACTGCAAAGCCAGGGCCCCTGAACTTAGGTAGCAAGCCACCTGACAGATCTCTGAGCCCCAGGTCCACACAGAAGGCTCCTTGCAACTGCTGGGTCCAGACTGGAGTGGAGGGACTCAGCGAGCGTTGCTGGCCATCTTTTAGGAGAAAGTGGGTGGGTACCACACGTACTCAGATTGGGCAAGATGAGCCCACCTTTTTGTCCTCCCCGGCTGCCCCCAGCAAGTGTCAAAACTGGAGAGAAAGCTCGCCAAGCGGGACCACATCATCTCAGAGTTGGACTCCAAGGTCAGCCAGCTGCAGGAGCAGGCGGAACTGGACCAGAACCACCTACAGAGGTGGAAGCAGCTGCAGGAGGATCTGCAGAGCAAGAAGGAGACGATTCAGCAGGCGGAGCAGCAGGCCCGCGTGGCCCTGGAGAGCACCCAGTCCAGGGTACGCCCCACTCCTCCTCCTGAGGATCTGGCCCAGCAGCTGGCGGCCGAGCACCTGGGCCCCTGCCCACCTCCCACTGAGGTAGACCAGGCTCTGAGTACACTGGGGCTCGGGCTGGTTCTTTTGTGTACCCCAGCACCTGCAGAGCTGACGCTCAAGAAATGGGGGTAGAGGACGGAGTGAGGGTGCAATGAAGCTCCCCGGGAATGGTCAACGGTAGCAGTGGGTGGAGCTCCGTGGGCAGGGCTGGGGGTCTTGGGTTGCATTGTGAAGGGTGTGGGTCAATGGCTAGAAAGGAGGGCACGTGGGTAGGGAGGAATAGTGCTGCCCACCCATCTCTGAGCCATAGCATGTTTGCTGGGCCAGGCACCGTTCTAAGTGCCTTCTTGGTATCAAAGTCATGTAGCCCCTTTAACCAAACTACAAAGTAGTTAGCATGATCCTCACTTAACAGACAGGCAGGAGAGGATGAATGACCCCCCTGGACCCCAGACCTGCTTTGCAGTGGTGCTGGGATTTGGACCAGACAGTCTTAACTGCAGGGCCCCACTGGGGCGTCATATTAAACGTGAGCAAAGCCAGGGTGCACCCCGCTTGTGAGGGCCCTGTGCCCAAAAGGAAATCAATAGAGCTGACCTTTTTCTTTTTTTTTTTGAGACAGGGCCTTGCTCTGTCACCCGGGCTGGAGTGCAGTAGGTGACAACAGCTTACGGCAGCCGTGGCCTCCCAGGCTCAAGCTGTCACCCCACCTCAGCCTCCTGAGAAGCTGGGACCACCTTACCCGGCTAATTTTAAAAACTTTTTGTAGAGACGGTCTTACTATGTTGTCCAGGCTGGTCTCAAATTCCTGGGCTCCAGCAATCTGCCTGCCTCGGCCTCCCAAAGTGTTGGGAATACAGGCGTGAGCCACTGTGGCTGGCCCTGACCTTGATTTAGAATCCAGGCATGCCAACTGCAACTCAGCTGCGTCCTCTTTCCTGCCTAAGCCAGCCTCCTTCCGGCTGGGTTAGACTGAGGCGCCCACCCAGGTATCCCTTGATAAAACAGCTTTGAATCCAGCCGTAGTGGTAGTGAAAGCATTAGACCAGAGGTGGCCCCGATGTGTCCATTTGTGCGCCAGCGTGCACTGACCTGGTAGAGACTGGAAAGCTGTACTGAGAAATATTCCAAAGCTAAATCCAGGTGAGAAGGAGCCAGCGCCAGGACTGATGGTGACGCCCCACGGGCGTGGGGAAGGGAGGCTGGACACCCCAGGTAGCTGCCAGCCTCTGCCCTGGGGAGGCACCCCCTGTACAGAGGCCCAACCCCTGGTGACCTCAGGACCCTCCGCACCGGGCACAGCGTTTGTACAAAGTGGACACTCAATAAATATTGGAAAGAAGGAAAGGATTCCACTCCACACAGGCCAGGGGCCCCTGACATTCCTGCTGTCACATAAACCCGTCCAAGTGGCAGTGTGGACATGCTTGCCACTCGGAGGCCAGGCTGAGCCTCTTGGACCCGGCTCCCCTTGGGCACCTCTGCGTTGTCGGGGTTTCTGGGTGAGGAACCGGCGCTGAGCGTGCTGGGTAACTGGAGGGGTTCCTGCCTGAGGCTCCTGGGGCACAGATTGGAGGAGTTTCCTCCGCAGCTTCCTGGGAGGCATGATGAGCTACCTCTGGGGAGGTGGCGGCGGGTGTACAGGCAGACACGGCTCTTCATGGCATCAAAAGACTAGAAGGCCCTCCGGCTCCGAGCGCAGGGGCCAGGTTCAATGCGGCTGTCCACGGCACAGACGCCTCCTCGTCAGCATGGAAAGAAGGGCCGCCAGTGCACTTAAATGCCTAGAGTGAGAGTGTCCCCAAGGGCCACGAAGTCCACTCACTGCAGCGGCCCAGGGTTTACATGCAACTCTTATACTGTTGTGGTTTGTTGGTTTCTTTAAAAAAACAAAACAAAACAAAATTATGTGCAGGTTTTACTTTCCAATGAGAAAAACCCACCTGGTGTACAAGAGTGTGGGCTTTGGGGCTGGGCCACCAGCGTCGGGGCCTGGACCCGGTGCCTCTGGCTCTCAGGCGCCTCCTAGCTCTCAGGCAGCCCACACTGACTTCTCTGGCCCCCATTTCCAATTTCTAAAGCCATGAAGAGTGAGAGTGAGCTGTTTCTTCCTGGCCCATAAAATATAAGGTGTTGGAGGGGTACAGCCCACTGGCCAGGCGCCTTCTTGGGCAAAGGCGAGTAATGGTGTTGTCTTTTGCTGACAGCTTGAGAGGCTACGGAATAAGATCATCCAGGCCACCTTCAGCATCTCCGGGACCAAGCCCTTGGCCAACGAGATCTCTGATAATGACATCCTAGAAGCCCTGCAGGTGACCCCTGAGCTCAGCCACCTCCATCCGGGCCCCGTCCCCCCAGGTGACCCCTGAGCTCAGCCACCTCCATCTGGGCCCCGTCCCCCCAGGCGACCCCTGAGCTCAGCCACCTCCATCCAGCCCCGTTCCCCAAGGCGAGCTGGGGTGGGGGATGGGAGGGCCTGGGTTAGATTCAGGGGACTCTGTCCTCATCCTAGTGTGTCATCTATTCACCTGGACCCCAGGACCCTCCCTTCTCTCTGCTCAGGCAGAGGGGGCCAGGTCATCCCTCATGTGGGTGGGGGCATGGCATGGGAGTCTTAGCCACATTCAGCAAAAAGGAGGAGGGGCATCAGAGACCAGCCTAAACTGCCACAACCCATGATCGCTGAGGAGAGGGGACAAGCCGCCTGGTCACAGAAATTCTCCTGCAGCAGGAGCCCAGCCCCGGCTTTGTCCAGCTCAGTCCTCTCCACTGGTATCGCCACCCACTGAGCTGGGGCCCTGGTGCAGAGTCCTCCCGCCCTGGCCACAGCCTCCTGGGTCTTTCCTGACCAGTGGTCCCCAAGCAGGGGCCTCCGAGAAGTAGAGGGGTGTAGGAGAAATAACTTGGGCTTTAGGGTCACTGGGCATGAGGGGGTCACCAGCCACCAGCTGTAGGCCACACACTCACTTGTCTGAGCCACAGACACTTCCCTCTGTGACGAGTCCATGCCCACCTGCGAAGTGCCATGGGACTCAGATCTCCAGGAGTCGGGCACCGGCTGTGGCTCTGTGTGGGGCCGTGTGCTATGCAGGGGTCACCTCTCACCAGGTGCTGCTTCTGGTCCCAAGAGCCACCCTTTCCCTTCTGGGGCTGCCCTTAAACCCCAGTGTGCTCCCATGACCTTCCTTCCAGCACTCACGTTCCTGGGGCTTGGTTCCCTTCCTCTGCAGAGTGGGTGGGCCCTGTGGAGCCGTAATGTGGGGGGAGGTCTCTGTGCCCTTGTTACTGTTGTCTGGGGGAGGGCAGAGAACGGGGAGGGAAAGAGGAAGAGAAGAGGGAAGACAGAGGACGGAGGGAGTTATTCCCACCGCACAGCAGCCAGGGAAGAGCACCTTTCTTTGCTTGCTTGCTATAGCCTGACATGAAACAGCAATGGCCCAGAGACGAGGAAATTGGAAGAGGGGTAGGGACAACCTTCCCTTTGCAGAGGACAAAAGAAGGGACTTGAGGGACAGATGTGACGACCTCAAAGGTCTTTAGGAGTCTGGGGCTCCTCACAGTTCTAAGAGGGCTGAAGAAGGGGACGCAGGACAGGGTCCTGCAAGTGGGTGCTGTGCACCTGCTCCCGGCTCTGCGTTCTGTGACTTCACTTCCGTGGCTGAAAATCAGCCGCCATGGGAGTATTGGGAGTATTCACACCACAGAAATCAGCAATGCCACAAAGCCGAGGGTTTTTTGCTTTTTTCTCCCTCGGGACAGCCAGCTGTAAGTATTCACCAGCACACCCCAGCTGCAGAGAGCCCCTCTGGAGGAAGAGAGGGTGGCGTCCTGGGCAGCTGGCATGGACTGGGCAGACCGGCCTCAAGGCCAAGGTGAGCACTAGGAAGGCCACCTCAAAGGCGGTGTTTCTTGTGTAGAGAATTATCTCAGAGAGAAGCGACTACTATAATCAGCTGAAGCAGAAAGGCGTCAAAGTGCCCCCCCTGCAACAGTCAGAGACCTTCCTGACCAGCAAATCCAAGAAGGGGACCTCCAAGTAGCCCCAGCCAGGCATCCAAAATGCGGTCAGCTCAGCAGAGGCCAGAGTCCAGCTCCAGAACCACCTGCCCCCAACCACGCATCCTGTTCGCGGACTCAGAATTAAACCCTGGTGCTGACACTGTCCCACCTTTTTCTTCTCTGGGATCCATGTGGGGTCCTACTCTCCTCTGCGACCTTAGGGTACAACAACGCCCCCATTCCAAAGCTCACTGACTGGGGATCAGCACACCAGCCTGTGCCCCTAGCTCCTAGCAGGTCCCCTCTAAGCCTCAGGCTGCAGGCCTGAGCCGGCGTGTCCGCCCGGCACTCAGCACAGGCCTAACTCCTACTGAGCAGAGGGGGTCTGTGACCTCCAGCCCTGGGGGCTCTCCTGGCTGGGGCACTCTCTTGCTAGAGGACTCCTCTGGAAGATGGTGAATGTCGGGGACTCTGTTCCCATCCCCGCCACCCCCCGCTCCCGAAAGGAAAGCTTTATGGACAGGGACGGTGTCTGTGCTCCCTGACGCTTCCCCGGCGCCTCGCAGGCTCCGGGCGCCTGAACTCCTGCGGAAGGAAGGACTCTCCCATCGCCCTTCTCTGCTCCCCACCCACACCTGCTTCCCTTCCCGCCGCGAGCACCGAGCTTGGGCCACGTGCGGGCGCCACACCTCTCAAGCCATGGAGGAAGACGGTCCCCGCGGCCGGGTTCTCAGTCCCCAGAACTCAGACCCAGAAGAACCCAGAGCCTCCCACAGTCTCCTCCGCGATGCAGCCGGGTCCCCGCGGGGCTGGGGAGCTAGGGGCGTCGGAGGGGCTGCAGCGGGGGTGAAGGTGGTCGGAGACCCTGGAGGCTCCAAGGCGGGGCGTCTGGGGGCGGAGAGCGCAGCCCTCCGCAGGTGCCGCTCGGCCGCCAGCACCAACCTGCCGCGAGGATGTACGGCCTTGGGTCTCCGGCCCCGGCCCCTTCCGGACTAGGCGTCTCCCGGCTACTGGCCCCGCCCTTCCGATATGGCCCCGCCCCGCCGGGCCCCGCCCCCGACCCCGCCCCAGCCCCGCTGGACAAGGCACCTTCCCGCTGCTGGCTCCAGCCCTTCCCTGTACGGCCCCGCCCCCGCCCTCGCCCCGCCCACTCCCACGCCCTCGCCCCGCCCCCGCCCCGCTGGACCTGGCTTCTTCCCGCGGCTGGCTCCAGCCCTTCCC